CTGCAGCTGCGAGCTGCCCTTTGTCTGCCGTTGGCAGGCCGGCTCTGAGGAGGGATGTGACCGACTTTTGCGTTCTCCCCCACCCCCCCCCCCCAGAAAGGCCGCCATAGGAGCCGGGATGCAAACAGGGGAGAGTTCGCATCCTCTGCCAGGCGGCATGGGGCCCGAAGGGGCAGGGGGGGGTCACCTGAGGTGAAGGTGCTGTGTGCAGATGTGGTAGCGGGAGGGGGGCACAAGGGAAGGGGGGGATTGGGACTCATATACTGCAGGGAAGGCCGTTATGTCAGGGGCACCTCGAGGCTCGAAACCGAAATGCGCATTTCTTATTGAAAAGAGCCGAGAACAGTAATTAAAGGGCCATGCAAATTACCCGGCCAGCCCGGTACCAGATAGTGAGGTAGAAGACGGACAGAATAGGAGCCAAACACGGGGGAGGGGGTAATGTCGCACGCGGTACATGTCCGGCCGGTCCCGATCAAAATCTATCAGGGCCATCTTTTATTTCTCTGCCTCGACTCGGAAATCTTTAAATCAAAGGAGGCCTGACTTACAAGCCAGAATTCGAGATGCTGTGGGATAGTTGGAGCCAAGCATCCTTTTCCACAGGTGAGCAGATGAAAGAGCCGGAATCGTATTACAAGCTAGCCGACTCGCTAAGTGCGTTTTCTGTTATAACTGGCTGGTGTCCGTGTCATAGCTGATTACTGTAAATGAATGGATCATTTGTTTGGATGTTTTGATAGCTTTCACTTTGTGTTCTGGCTTGAGAATCGCAGCCCGTGCCAGCGTGGCGATACATGCTTTGTCTGTCAAGTGAAGTTGTTAAACAGCTGATTTTTTTGATTTATGGAGTGGGCTTGTTTGTGCAGTTATAGACTGATATGAAATTTAAAGATGGTGTTATCGAGTGATAAAATATGTTGGCATATTCTGTCCTGTGAGCTTGTTTCTGTCTGCATGCTTTGGTATGTTAAATTGTGTTTTTATTTGCGTCCGTTTGGTCACGTGCTTGTGTGTGATGCATATTTGTCAATGCGACATGTATGCTGCCGTTTCTGTGTTTATGTTTGCGTTCATTTGGTCATGTGCTTGTGTGTAACGCGTATTTGTCAACGTGCACATTTATGCTGCCGTTTGTGTGTTTTTATTAAAATGATGTGATGTTCTTCGTGTGTTATTTGCGCAAGCCGTGTGTGTAAGAGGCATGTGGATGCACGTTGGCCTGCGTGTGCATGTTCATCACGCGTCAGGCCCGCAGCTTACGCATTTCGCACATAGCTGTCAGAGACGCTCGTTCACAGATACAGGCGTCCACTCAGGTGCGTTTGTCGTTGATCTCTTTCGCCTCAACAGACATGTGGAATCAGATGACAGTAAAATGGGGGAGGTGGGAAAAAAACAGGTGACAGAAGAGAGACCCCCGGTTTTACTGATGGGGAGCAGGGAGGGGATGTGTTGTGCATTGTGGCTAAATAATGAATGGGGCATATCGGATTTCACTTGGAGCCATGGCTCACGGCAGCCCAGGAGGGGCGGGAGTGTAGGGGGAGGGGTGGCTGTGATGGTAGGGGGGGTAAGGTCTGTTTGGGACAGCTTGGCGTGACGCTTAACTAAGCCAGCTGCTCTCTGGGCTTGGGGGAGAGGAAGGGAGGGGTCTGGGAGAGAAGGTGGGAGAAAAAATGTAATATGGAACGGGGACAGGTAGATGGCGGAGCAGGTGAGAGCGTCCAGGAACGCAGGCCGTGCAAAAAGAATGCATGGCCAAAAGAACATTCCGGAAGGTTAGCGAGAAGCCTTCGTAATTTACCAGCAGTACAATGAAAACTCTGGATGGCTTAGATAGCAAAAGTCAAATGCGGCCGTTTGTTTTAAACGCCAGCGTCGTAAAATCATGCGTCGTGCGTGAAAGGGGTTTATGATGTACTGTTACCCGGACCTGGGGCTGATGTTGACCCCAGCCCCCCGCAGACTTCTGGCTGTCATGGAAACCCCCCTCCAGTGCTGTCAGTGCCCCCCCCCCCTGGATCCATGATGCTGATTCCTCTCCTCTTTTCCTCTTTCCAAGAAGGTGATGCTGCCGGCGGGGGCAGCGTTCCGGTGGTTCCAGTAGGACTGTGATCCCGACGCTCGCCAGCGGAGTGTGACGGCACCCCTTCCACCCCCCCTGCCCCCCCCCCCAGCTTGGATTGTCTTGGGCGCCTGGGACCCCCTGGCTGAACCACAAAACGCTGAAGTCAAAATGCATATTACTAATGGATGCACCTTCATATTCCTGAACCAAAAATAAATGTACAGAGATCTATGGCAATTCATTCTCTTTTCTATGTTCCGTTTTGGTACCTTTTTGTCCTTTTTCCAGCAGATTTCAGTCATTTTGACATGGAACTTCTCATCGCCAAACTGTAATGAGGGATTGAGGTGTGCGGACAATCAGCTAAGCTCTGTGTTCGGTGTTCATGTCGTTTCTGTGTGGAAAGATACTGTACTTGTGTAGAGAATGTAAATTTACAGCTATATTTTAAGAGACTAGCAGCTAATGACAAGCACTCTTGTAAGTCGGCATCATTGTTTTTACTTACAACCCTCTGTATTTTTCGATTGGTTATTTTTTTATATTTTGTTTCATTTCTGTTTTGTTACGTGACTGAAGAGCAGTTTTGAAAACTGCCCAGTGTTTGATATTAAAAGCGAAACGTCGACGATATAGAATTGCGATTCCTGACCGAATAGAGATTTTTAGTCTGACAGCCCTGCCGTGGCCCAAACTCCCAAAAATGAGGGAAGACTCATTTTCCGCAGTAGTTTTCAGATGACAGCAGAAAACGCCGCCCGTCATTCTCCCCTGCACCCTTCACTGGCGGCCCCAAGTCTCCGCGTCCCGGAGAGGCTCACACTGCTGACCGTGTGCGGGGGCCCCGGGCTCTGTACGAGGTGCGGCGCTCCAGTGGCATCGTCCATCCACTGCACCGCCACTGCATCTCCGAAAGGAATCCCTTATGTTTGTATTAATTTAGAAACCTGGGCTGTTTTTTTTTTTTTTTTGTGAATAAAAAATGACTGCATGTATTTGTGTCCGTATCTACAGCTCTTTTGCATGGCGTTTTTAGAAAGGTATACTAAGTGCTAAAAAAGCAACTGCAGACCACTGGTAAAAAATACTGCAGTTAAAAGTACATAAATCTTTCTGAATTGTCCCTCATTTATTTCAGGAATATAAGGGGAAAAACTGAAGCATTAGGAAGTAGTTTTAAAAAAAAGTATCGGGGCTTGCTTTTGTTTTGGTACTTGTTATGATTTCACACATAACTGTAAAACAAACCAGGGAAGAATGAAAGGCACAATTACACCAAAGGAAATAAGAAAGAATGAAATAATTCAGAAATTCTCAATGAGATCAGTTAAGCAGAAGCCTGTGCAGAGTTTGTAAGACACAGGTGGGTCTGTTTTAGGTCCAGGCAGAGATGTGCAATTTCACGGCAATTTATAGAGGGGACGGGACATCCAGGGGCTGCCTGGGACTGAAACCAGCCACCCTCTGTCTCATTTTCGCCTTGTTCTTTTGAGATTACGTTGCCATCGGCACCACAACGTGTTTGGATCAAACCCCACCGGGACTCCGAGCTTACAGCAGAACTCGAACCTCGAACCCGTATGTCAGAGCCGATGCCTGCACTCTGCATCCTTGCTGTTTCCCAGCTACTGACGAAATGTTAGTCCAAATATAATATGCAATTACAGATGAGGACAGTGTGCAGCTGCGTAGTGGAAATGGACAGCCCCCCCACATGCTATAAAAGAGCACAACTTCTGCGAGTCTGGGGCGTCTACATGAAGCGGGCTCGCAGTTTTATCCTATCTGAGTGTATCTGGCAGCCTGGCCCCCCCTTCCTGCCCCGGACGACAGCGATGGAGCCGGGAGGTAGCCAAGGTCCTACATTATTAATGAGAGCCGGGGCGTCCTCAGCAGCCGCCCGGCACTGCGAGTGCACGTCGCGGCCAGTCACGCGCTGCCCGTGCGTGACGCCGAGCTCCTCGCGGCGCTTCCGCCAATTCCAGCGCGCCTGCGTAGTCAAACCGCCGCTCCACAGCGTTAAAGCTCGCCAGCGGATTGCTGCTCGTTCCGCTCTAAATGCGAAAAATTAAAATAGAACCCCCCCCCCCCCTTCCTTATCCGTGCAAGAGGAAGAACGACGATCCTTTGCGTTCGTGGAATGTCCTCGGCGTATTTTTGCATAGGGACACATTTTTTTCGTAATTAATTTGGTTAATTAACGTATGAAGGCAGAACCCTTCGGAAGAGAGCGCCATGTGTGTGGCGGCTGGTGGTGATGAGGTGAGGGTAGCCGCGAGGTAGGCCGCATTTGCTCAAGGCTGCGCCCGGTGGCGAGGGGAGAGAATGGTCTTCCGCATGTGCGTGACGCAGACGGCTGGGGAGTTTGGGTTTGAAGTGTGGTGTTAGGGGGGGTTGGGGCAGGTCAGGGCATGCGCGGCCTAGCGGGGTGAGGTGCGGCGTTAGGTCTGGGCGTCTTATCAGCGATCCCCAGGCGGCAGGCCGTGCAGATCAGCCTGGGCCAGACAAACGGGCTGCCCGCTCGCCTTGCTGCCCCCTCTGCCTTTATCAGCCTCCCGGAGACACGTCCAGGACGTGTCAGTCATTCCTGTGCAGCTCGGGGAAGAGATCTTAACTCAGCACCGCGAAACAAGACCAGGAGGGCGGGGTGGGGGGGGGGGAGGGTGAGGGGAGGGGAGGAAAAAAACCCATTATGGGTGGGAGGGGGATTGTGTCATGGTTTCCCAAATCCACGCTGACTGTAGCGGTCCACGCAGAGCCAGAGACAGACTGTTAACCCCCCCCCCCCCCAGTCTGACTCAGCTGTTTCTACCAAACGGTAAAACCGTAACCTTGATGACTCACGCGCTCAAATAACGGTCAGAGCGGCAAACAATCGCAGAGCAGTCTCGGTGGTTTCCACGTCCTGGCGGGGGCGTGCATGCGGCAGGGGGGGGAGGGGACTCTGTCACGCGCCTCTGGGGTTAGCCCGCGGGGGTCGTTTCAGTCGCTGACTAATTAAGGTAGGGGCGTCTGAAGTAACGAGCCTTTGCTGGAATGTAGGTCGACGACAGGCGCCTGGCGGAGTCGCTGCGGAATTTCCAGGCCATGTTATTTGGTCCTAAAGGAGGGGCAGCAAACTCCAGGCTGAGTGATTCTCTGTGACGCACCTGGGGTGAACCCGCCCTGTCGCCCACTGGTGCCCAACTGAACACTCTGAGACCTATAACATGAATCACCGGTGGAGTTCATATCTGAGAGACGCTGGTCTTGGGGTTACAGTACAGTGACGGAAACTAACTGCTATTTAACGTGACTGGTTGAGAGCAGCTGTTTTTTAAAGCCACGGAATCACTCAAAAGTCGTCTGTCATCTGTTAAAAAGCGTGCGCGCACGCACACACGCGCACAATCGACCCGGTGACATACAGCGGCCACGAAAAAAGTGATTTGTTTCCTCAGCAAAGTGCAAAAATAACATGTCAGTGGAGGGCTTTATTTTTTATTTTTTTTTTTCCCTCCCGCCCTGACAGACGTCTGAAGACATCCGTGAAGTGAAAGATCATCAGACAGGAAAGAGAGGCACGTTTGGGAAAGAGAAAAACAGAAAGCAGAGGGGGAGACGCTTGGAGGCGCCGGGGCGTGCGTCGCAGCCGGGTACTGGAAGAAAGGAAGGGGCACGCGCACACGCACGCACACACGCGGGGACACACCGAGAGATTAAGCACAAATCAATGGCTCTGCTCAAATGGGAGAGAGATTTGAGTCCGGGTTCTCGTTAAGGGTTGACGCAGGCGGCGAAAGCTCAGGGGAGTGTTATTACCAGGGTGATGGTTGATAAGACGCTCGTTCCTCCACGGTGCATCCCAGGGGACAGATGCATCGCGCAGCCATGGAAACGGTAAGGCTAGGTGTTACGCTATAATTGGGCCAGTGCTTTTAACAGCACAGTCGCACAGCCAGGTACGACGCCGTCTCCAAATTAGAAATCGTGGTGCGGCGCGCAGGCGAGCGGTGGACTTTCAGCCTCCCACCCTAACCCCCCCCCCACCACTGCCGCACGTACACGCAAACCCTCTTTTTTTTTTTTATTCTGTTTTTCCGTGTCCTGGAAAACAGAGCCTTCCCTGCCGGAGAGCCTTCAGCCCATGTGGGCGGCGGAGTTCAACAAACGGGACGGACCAGGAGGGACTGTCTCCGAAATTTTTTTCTTCGTATGTGTGGGCCCACCTAACAAAAATAAAATAAAAATCAAATAGTCCCATGCAGCAGGCCGCCAGTCCCATGCGGCAGGCCGCCGCTTTGTTTTCAGTTTCAGTTCTGAAGGAGCCGTGCGAATTACGGCGTGGCCCCATTCATTTTTTTTTTTTATAAAATAAATAAATACACCAAAATGCTAAAGAAATAGTTTTTTAAAAAGGGCAGAATAACCCTACAAGGCAGAGGAGTGTACAGAATGGCTGCTAGGACTCCCTTTGCCTGACAGCTTCAGTGTGCGCGTTTAACCTTTACTCGCACACACAGCCGGGGTGGGGGGAGCGGGAAACGGGGGGGCGGAGCGGCTCTGCCATCCACCTCCTCCTCAGACGTTAGAGAAGGCCGTACGCAGTGCTATCGACCCCGATCGGTTTCTGCCATATTGATCCCTTCCCCGGCCCCTAGCAACCCGTCCTGCAGCGCGCGCGCGTGTGTGTGTGTGTGTGTGTGTGTGTGTGTGCGTGTGGGGGGGGTCCATACCTTACCTTGTAGGAACCAAATGGCCCCAGAGCATGATGAATATCGTTTTCTTTTTACCTTATGGTGACCAGTTTCCTGGTCCCCACAAGGGGAAACTCAGTTTTATAAAAATCTGTGACTGCAATCAAAAAACTAAAAATGCCAGAAGTGGTCATTTGTGGTTAAGGTTAGGGCTGGGTAGGGGTTAAGATCGTCATGTTACAATTAGGGTGTTGCCCATAGAAATGAATGGAGAGTCCCCACAAAAAGGATTACAAACGTGTGTGTGTGTGTGTGTGTGTGTGTGCACTCTTGCGTACGTCTCGCCTTTCATTCCGCTCAACGGACGCCTTGGATCTGGCGACCTTTAACTCACTCTCGGCCGTTTTTGCAGAGAGGCAGCTTGCGTGTCACTTTTTTCGAGAGCGTGTGCACGTTGGGGAGGTCGTGGGGGGGGGGGGGGGGGGGGGGGGGGGGGGGGGGGGGGGTGGGTCTCTCTGAAAAGTGAGGGGGTGGTCATTGATGCTCTCTGCTTCCCTGTCAGGGGTGCTGACGTGGACACGGCATGCGCGTCTGCATGCGTGCGAATATCACCGTGAGTGTGTGTCAGTGCTAATGAGACCGTGTGGATGTGTAAGCATTAGTGTTTGTACTTGCGAATTCTGTATGTTTGTACCTGTGAGGGAGTGTCTCCCTGTCACTGACTCTACGTGTGTGTATCCATATGACTGTGCGTGTATCCATATGACTGTGCGTGTATCCATATGACTGTGCGTGTATCCATATGACTGTGTGTATCCATATGACTGTGCGTGTATCCATATGACTGTGCGTGTATCCATATGACTGTGTGTATCCATATGACTGTGCGTGTATCCATATGACTGTGTGTGTATCTTTCTGAGTGTACATGTGTTTTCTGACTAACTGCCTGAGTTTATCCTTGAGACTGAGTGCATGCTTGTGTGTGTATCCAGCTAACCAAGTGTGCATGTATGTGTGTACCTTTGTGACTGAGTGTGGACAAGTATGTGTATCCTCGTGACCGAGTGAGACGGCGTGTGTATCCTTGTGACGAGTGTGTGTGCATGTATGTATCTATGTGACCAAGTGTACGTACACATATGTATCCTTGTGACTAAGTGTACATGCATGTGTGTATCCTTGTAATAAGTGTGCATGTGTGAGTATCCTTGTAATGAGTGTGCATGTGTGTTATCCTTGTAATAAGTATTCATGTGTGAGTATCCTTATGATGAGTGTGTATGTGTGAGTTAT